AGAACCCTGGCAGTTTTTCAGCAAGGAGCCAAAAGCAGAAGTGAAGCATAAGCAGAGCGGAACAAAATTATAGAAAGTATTGCTTCAGCATCCCCCTTAGTTGCTGTCTTGTCATCAAGACTGATGGCCATCAGATGGGTTTTGTGTAGCCAGCAGCAAAGATCTAAATTGCACAGATCAATACATTAGTTGCCTTGCTTTGGATGGCAGATCTGTTATTCCTTTTATCATATTCCTACACACTGACTCTAATTCCCACTCAGTGTTTTCAGACCAGTGGCTGGTGTACACACAGCCTCTAGGGCTCCCAGTGTCCGATCAAAAAGTACTGTGGCCACATTGTTCATTGCATGGGAGCTCATTGTAAGGGAATTGGACTAGATGATCTTTACAGGTCCTTTTCAACTCAAATGATTCTATAATTATATGATTCTGTAATAAAAACACTGATTCTGTTAAACTCAATGGTTCAATGATGTTAAAACTGGCAGATTAACTTCAAGTCAGCAGGCTTTGTAGCCAATGAGATATCATCTGTCCACACCTTTCTGTTTCTGTTAGAACATGAACATGCATTTCTCATCTTTGCATACTGCATAAAAGCAACAACATCTATAACACCAGCTCAGCCTTCTCTGAGCAATTCATCAATGCTGAGACTAGGGATTCAAGCATGGAGCAGGTTAATGCTGTGATCAGTAAGGGGGTTGATTCAATAATGCAGTGATTGCTCTTGATAAAATTATGCCATAACATAATTTTAGCCTAGAAAGCCAATTACATACGTGAATTTTTCTGCAAGGGCTCAGGGCTAGGGCTGGCACAGGGTGGCTTCGACTCGCTGCACATGCCGAGCTTGATCGAACTTTGTCCTCACTGAATTTCAGATTAAGGGCTGACATCCCACTCACGACTGAATTCACCTGCGGGTATATCTATCATATCATCAGCTGTGCTGAGAGGATATTAGGTATGCTGCTCCTGAGTTAAAAGTTGATTACTTACAGGGCTCAGAATCATTTTTCAGCCTGAGGCCATGCTCCTTTCATACATCTAAATGGGTGTTTAAGTCTTATTTCCAGATATCATACCAAAAAAGGTGTGGGGGTATTTATCTTCAGCTAAAAAGCGTGTGGGAGCTCCTAGTCTGCTTCTCAATAAAGAGCCAAATTCTTACATTCCAATCAGAAATGTGTTTTCTTCTCACCTAACGACAAAAAATTAATTATAGATTGAAAGTGAATATTTTCCTTTTCCTTGCAATAAAATTTAAATACTTGGGTTTTTCATGGTTCTCATTGCGAGATAGGATTCTTCATGGTAGTACCTATGACATGCTCAAATATCACCCTTCTGCTTCCATCACTGTTCTCCCTCTTCTGGGGGCCAGGCACCAGATTTGGCTCATGGTTAAGCCATCAAAAATACTGTTAGCTCCATCTGGAACTTGGGATGTGGAAAGGGAAGAAAAACCAACGCTTAGTCCTTCAGCTGCATGAAATACAAGCTCAGCAGGAGCTCAGACAAATGTCTGAAACACGGTGCCTTGTGTAGTGCATAAGGGTGCTGATGCTAAACAACAGCAAGGAGCGAGTAGGGATCAAAGAGCATAATTTAAGCCTACTGGTTTGTTGAGTTGAATTTCCTGGCTGGATAATAGCCATCTTTCCTTACCCTCGTCAGTGGTCTCTCATTGTCAAAAGGTCCTTGTATTCATCTGCCTCAAGTAGCCATATATTATTCTTCTATTTTTCACTATACTTAATTTTTTCTCTCCATTAAAACTGGGCAACATGATCTGTCTCTGTTTATCCAATTTTTGTTTCTAACTGATTTTATACTTGGCTTTTAAAATAATTTCAATTAAAAGCACATTTTGATTTTCCCAATTTTTTCTCTGCTTAACATAGACAATTAAACCTCTAAAAAACCCACAGAATTCCTAAAAATTATTAAGAAACAATATTGAGACACACTATCTTCACAGTATCATCCAGATGCTAGAAGTTTTAAAAACCCATTAATATTACCTGAAAGTTTGATTGCTTCATTCATTTCATTGCTTCAGCAGCCTAAAATTGAAATTTCCAATAATATCTCCTAAATGTGAGTTAACTCTGGTCAAGAGCTATTTTTGCACTATTTGTAATTTGATTTGTTCTTTTTCCTTTGCTCATAATTACATCAGAAAATCATGAGTACTGTCCATGTAAACAATTTGGTTTAGCAATTGCAATGATGCTGAAAAACTAATCCTAAAACCACAAGAAAAACAGCATCTGTATGTCAGGAAGATATCTCACTATTCTGTATCCGTGATGGTTTTCTTATCTGTAATTACTGACAGCTCTACAAAGCACTTAAGAATTTTCTAATGAAAGCACATCTTAGGTCTTAAATATTGTTGTATTACTCCGCTTCACTGAAATCAATCCTTCAAGTGACCCAGTTGCAAATTTTTGTGTGGAGTTAAAATTCAGAGCCCCACGCTAGGTTGTTCCTGGAGCTTTCCTCTACAGGATCCAAATTCATGGTCATTTTTATTCTAGAATTAGATAAACCTGGGTAGGGCCACCAAATTACAGTATGTTTTTGGATATGGTAAGTGGTCTGCTACAACCATGCTGATCTTGTGGAAAACCTAGCATTTGTCCGCCTTGAATAAAAAAGTCTTGACTCATTCTCAGATGTTGGGATTCATATGTGATAATGAGGTTTCAGTGCATGCAGCATTATGATGTCAATCCACTGGCAAAATTCAAGACAGTTCTCAGTCTAAAGTCTGACTTCAGCTCATACACAAACTTCAGTTAAAAATAAATGATGGTTCTGTTAGAGTTCTGTCACAGATATGGGTTGAATGTTGGGTGGTCATTTGTGTATCCAGGAGTTGTCTGGTCCCTTCCAGCTCAGATATTCTAGAATTCCATGATGATGGTCTGAAGGAATGGAAAGCCTTATGAGGTATTATTAGTGACAAGAATTTGGCCTGGATGCAGCACATCAGGTGTGACTATCTCATGTTTTGGTGACTCAATCATGCAGGGGAATAGGAACATATATTGTCTTACTTATGGTTGTTTATAGATGGAAAGGTTGATTTTCCAAATACTATCTGAATCACTGACAGTTAATTAAAGGAAGCCTCTGCTTATTGGTAGGTCAAGAAGGGCGGCATATGCTTCTCATCAGTCACATTTCTCATTCATAGTTTCTCATTCATATAGTTTCACAGAAGATTCTTCTGCTAACCAGCTGCTTCAGAAATGTGTCATATGACAAACGTCAAGACTTGTATTCTTTTTTTCTTTAACATTGAACATAAAATCTCTATTGAATATGAACAAAAGATATTGAATGCGTTTTTGTGTGTAGCTGTCTGCTTAAATATACATTTAAGTGCTATTCTGGATCGCTCTGAGGCTTTGCCTCAAGCCTTTCTTAATCCCCACAGCTTTTCATTGAACATTAGAAAATACATATCATTATGCTCCGAGATGGCTCTCTTCTCATGTGTAGTTGTGTAGCAGTTTTGCACTAGCCTCCGCAGGAGGAACCATAAATGAAGTAGATTGCAAAGGTTTCCCAAACAGCCAGGAAGAAAGAAAATAAAGTAAATCAAACAAGCGGCATTTCCATGATGAAATCCGTTTTACAAGCCTAGCATGGGAACAAGGAGAACCAGACAAACAGTAAGCATCAGCCTGTGTTTAGAACTATTTCTGAAAATACAAGTCTTTTACCCTTGCTCTTTCTGCTCCAAGAGCCCCCATCACAGGCACCGGCACTCAGAGATAATCTCCCTGAATATCTGAGGCGTAGAAACCAGCAGGATTAAAGCACCTCGTGCTCCTCAGCACGGTCATGTGATGACCTGCTGATCCCAGCAAAAGGCATCGTTTCCCAGCAGAGATCTCACTTAGTTTCCTAGGCATTGTTCCTGCCTTCCTGAGGTTCTCTGTAGCCATTATTCTTGTAGGGAAAAAATAAGAGATGAAAGCAACTGCAACAATGACAACAAAACTCCTGCAGTTTTAGTAGTAACAATGATAGCTAAAGAAAACTGCACAATTTAAGTGCAATTTGCCTACAAGTAAACCAACAGCTGTCCCTGCTTCAAGAGATAATTTCAAAGTAGGTATAACTTCTAATAGTTTTCATATAGCTCCGCTATTGCAGATCAGGCTTTCTTAGAAGAAGAAAAAGGAGTGAGTTGTCTGGAGTAATGCACTGAGCAAAGTACATAGATTCGGTGCTTCCTGATGGGAGGAAGACAGAAGCCAGGGTTTGGTTTCCAGATCCTGATAAAAATACTGTTGTCAAATCTGATACCAAATTGTGAATATTCCAAAAAAACTGAAGAGATTTGGGTGCAGATTTTGGCATGGAGTTACCTATTTAAATGCTAGACATAACAGGGGAATGAACATTATTTTTTCTTGACAATTTTTCACTTTGTAGAGTTACTTTGCCATATGCTGGTCTGGGAAAGTCAGCTTCAGCTGAAATATAAAAAAAGACCAAGCCAAATAATTTATTGTGCCCCCCTCCTATCTGCACACTAATAGTCATTTTCCCATTTTTTTGTTCACTGTCCTTACTTAACTGATCAAATTTTCTGGATCTTTTTTCAAGCAATAATTTACACAAAAGCATATTATCAAACAATGTTGCCTAATAGCCAACTGTTGCTCCCGTGTCCGGATTTTAATCTTACTTCTTCTCCAACTGCAACAAGAAAGCAATCATGTGCTAGGCAGAAGATTAAAATTTTGCAATAATTGCCTTCATTTTGAAACCTTTAGGGGGTGGGGAAAAAAGTCAGTTGGCTTTCATCCACAACATGTGATAGTCAGATTAATCACAGAAGTGTATTCTGCGTGTAAATGCATCCAGGGTAGGAATGGGGAAGGGCACTGCAGGGTGCGCAGTAGCAGAAGTCAGTGGTGAAGCATTCCAAGTTGGGTGGAGAAGTTTCTTTCACACTCAGGTCATTGGAACAGTCAGAGAGAACTCTCCATGCACTGAAGCATAACGCTGATGCTCTCCTGCTGCTCTGTGAGGATGTTTCTGTTTGCCATGGGCTCACTGCTGGTCATCCTTCAGCCGTCCACTGGGCAGTTCCCCAGAGTCTGTGCGAACACACAAAGCTTGCTGAGGAAAGAGTGCTGTCCTCCCTGGGCTGGAGATGGGTCCCCTTGCGGGGAGCGTTCCAACAGAGGAACCTGCCAGCGCATCCTTCTCTCTCAAGCTCCTCTGGGACCACAGTTTCCTTTCTCAGGAGTGGATGATAGAGAGGATTGGCCTTCTGTGTTTTACAACCGGACATGCAGATGCAGAGGCAATTTCATGGGGTTCGACTGTGGGGAGTGCAAGTTTGGCTTCTCGGGACAAAACTGCACTGAAAGGCGACTCAGAACGAGAAGAAACATATTCCAGCTCACCGTCAGTGAGAAGAACAAGTTCCTTGCCTACCTTAACCTAGCAAAGAATATCCCTAGCAAGGACTATGTCATTGCTACTGGCACATATGCTCAGATGAACAACGGCTCCAACCCCATGTTCAGAAATATCAACGTGTATGATCTCTTCGTCTGGATGCATTATTATGCCTCTCGAGACACACTTTTAGGTGGCTCCAATGTGTGGAGGGACATTGATTTTGCCCATGAAGCTCCTGGTTTTCTGCCTTGGCATCGTGCTTTTCTGCTGCTGTGGGAACGTGAGATACAGAAGATAACGGGTGATGAGAACTTCGCCATACCCTACTGGGACTGGCGAGATGCAGAGGACTGTGCAATCTGCACTGATGAATACATGGGTGGCCAACACCCCACCAACCCTAATTTACTCAGCCCAGCATCATTTTTCTCCTCATGGCAGGTAAGGACAGGCAAAGGGATGAAGGTAAGGGGAGGGTGAGAGGATAGGGCAGAACTAGGGAAAGGGAAAAGCTGATCAAGCTCAAACTATCCAACCTGACTTCAGGTACTTAAGAGAGGTGCAGAATCTGGAGAGAAAGTAAACTGCTTTCCAGATTTTATGTGGATCTTCATTTAGAGTATTCATTCATCTCTCTATCTCTGCTTTGACTGTAGAACATATTTCATTATGAATAAAAATCAGTCTAGAGGGATGAAAGTCATGCTTTTGTTTCCAGGCATGAGCTTTAACAGACTGAATAGGATTGTGTGTGCTGGAGCAGCCAGCTGAGTTAAAGAAATGTTTATGTATGCAAATAGCTAGCAAACAATCACTGCAAAATGGTTGGTGACTGAATGAAGTAAATGGTTCTAAGAAGATCTACTCCTCTCTGTGACTTTCTACATCAAGAGTTAAAACTAGCCAATTAGTCTTGTCTGCTTTCAACATAAATAAGCAAATAAATAAGTAAATAATCCTTAGAGCGTGGAAGAAACATCTGTGCTGTTCACCTCAGTAGTTCAAAAGAAAAATAAGAAGCGATCTTTGTTGCTCAAAGGAAGTAAGTTCGAGAGCTATGCCTTCCACTTACAAACACTGTGAGTTAGTTTGTAAGCCAAGATTACATATTTACCTAGGTGATACAGTCTAATATATTCAAACTATACTGTGCTGTTCTAACACTGAGAGCTTCTAGAGTTTATTTGGCTCTTGCTCATTATTATCACAGTGCCTAAAATACAGTAACAGAGGTCTATTGGCTTCTACAGACGTACTCCATAATGACAATAACAACAATCCCTTCTGGCACTGAAGTCTATGATTATGTTGGTGTAAATCGAGCTCTGTTCTATTTATTTCTGTACCAACAACCCAAATGAAGATTGAGCAGTGTTAGTGATTTAATGGGAAGTGAAAGAGATACAAGCCAGCAGCTCACTGATATTCTGGCCTTACAGAACAACGACTAACTGGGGCTAGCGGGCTGGTTTTGTGTATTTAATCTTGACTTGTGCCCTCTAAATAATGTGGTCTACGTCTAGTCCTGTAAACTCAAGCATTTCCATCTACTATAACAGACCTATTTGAGGATGTTCTCTGGCACAAATTTTGTATGCATTATATAAATACATATGTATCTAAACATACATACTATGTTAAATGTATGTGTATAATTATATTCAGTTGTCCCCCCTCATAGGTACTTTTCAGGGACCATTTCTAGGTGGCTGTTTGTATGAAGTTACACTCTTCAGGAAACTAAGATGTTGTGTTTTATTTTTAGCATAGCTATGGATTATTTCATGCTGTTTGGTCTGATTTTGGACTTGGAGCAAGGAAATGGACTCAATGATCCTTATAGGTCCCTTCCAATTTGAGATATTCTGCAATGCTGTAATTTGGTCTCGGTGCCCAGAAACATTCCTGGCCACATATATTTTATCCATAGAAATAAAATAAATAGAGTCAAAAAACATGTATTTTGATTTCATATGTAAAGATTACCCTTATTTCTAATAGTAGGAATCAAGATGAACTCTACTGACTAAATTGGACTGCATTATCAGAATGAAGTGGATCTGATCCCGGTCTGTGCACAACTAAATAGAGAGTTACAGGAAATGGTACAAGTGTTAACGTGGAATAAATGAAACTAGAATTGAGCTGGCTATATTTGTCAAGTGGAGCTTTTAGTGCAGTGTACTGGATGAGACAACCAAAGCCGTAGGAGGTAGGTTGTATAAAGGAATCAGCAAGCTGCTAGCAACATTTTCTAAAAGCCCTGGAGGGATCGGATAGTTAGATTTAGCTCCCTTTTTCAAAGATATTATTAACCATGTCCAAATTCTTAGAACTTCTCCATCCTAGAGATAAGAACCCAAACGCTTTGCCAGTCGCAGTGAATATATTTAAGGATTAGTCAGTTTATAACTTTTCATTTAAGGTTATTGTCGTAGAGATATCATGGAAACAAACACATTTTATGAAATCAGTGGCTTTAAAAACACATATATTTTATAACTTCAGTAGGCACAACAATGAATATTGTTCTATATTTAAAATGCATTCAGTGTCAGTATCTATGACTGCAATCACCTAAGTTCTTTGATGAAGCTTTCCAAGTCATTTCTGAAAGTGAATGTTTATCACTTATATTTTTCAGTCACTTCTGGAAATGTTATACTTTCCAAAATAGCTTCCAGTTTCCAAAATAGCACAATTTCAAATTCAAAGGGGGTTATTTAACTTTAACATCCACTACCAGCTGCCTTATCCAGGAAAGAATGACCGAGATTGAACAGTGACATTTTAAGTCAGTGAGCTTGGGGTGAAGATGCAAAACTAACTGACATTTCTTTATTGGCATTGAATCCAATTTTTAACACTTGCTGACGATGGAATAACTTAGTTGATACAGTTGCTTTAAATAGCAAAAAATAAGAGATTAGAATCTCACTCCAGAAGATTGAGAGGAAACAACACAGCCTTAACGTCAACCACAAAGCATAGATCTGCTGCAGAATATGTTGATTATCTAAGCTCTGTAGATAAAAAAAAGGATTTAAAAAAAAAAAAAAAAAAAAAAAAAAAGAGAGAAAGAGAGAGAGGGAGAAGAGGAAGATCCAGAAATGTGGAGGAATTTAGGTTTTTAATAAGCATACAGATTAAAAAGAGGGCAAGAGAAACCTCTTGAATAACGTGTCTGAAATGTAGTGTCCTTTTACAATATTAAGTCTGTTTCTAAAGCATAATGAAACAATGTCTGCTACAGGAGGAAATTCTTCTCAAGATACAGTTATGGAATTGTTTTAAAAAGGCAAAGTGTCTATTTGCAGAACAGCATCTATCTTTTCTTTTAATCCCTAAAGAAAAGAGAAAATACTTTATTCCATTGAGAAGTTGCCATGGCAACATGGATACCCATGAATACATGCTGAAATTCTTGCTTTCCCCTTACTTTTATTTGGCACACTGCTGTTACCACTTAGCTAAGTGAATTATCAGTCCACATTTTCCTGATGTTTACCACCTAAGTGAAACTTTTGATTCCTGCCTCTGCTTTAGCCAGAAAGTTTACCAGGGGTCTTTAGTGGTTTTGTCTGTTTTCTTCTTTCATACTTCAGAGTGGGTAGAAAGGATTTTCCTATGCTTTCAGATACTTGCTTTTGATGATTCAAATGTTGCGTTTAGATTTATTTAGGAGTGCATGGCACCTTTACCAAGTTTTATAATTCCACACCAATTTATCAGAGGGCAAGGTGGGAAATGCAGCTCTTCCATGACATTTTGAGAGTTTTACTGTTTATGTCTATAATTATTCAAGCTAATGAATTTGCTAAAGAAATAATTATGATGCCTTGCTTAAATAGAAGTGGGTGAAATTCCACTCTCCTCTTCACCAGAGACAATTTGGGCTGCCCAGAGAGGTTGTGGATGCCCTGTCCCTGGAGGTGTTCAAGGCCAGACTGGATGGGGCCCTGGGCAGCCTGGTTTAGCATTAAACGTGGAGGTTGGTGGCCCTGCATGTGGCAGGGGAGTTGGAGATTCGTGATCCTTGAGGTCCCTTCCAACCCTGGCCATTCTATGATTCTGTGGGGAAATTACTGAAGTCAATGGAGCTACAAATATAAATATAAATAAATAAATACCTAAATAAATTTTAAAAGCCTTCTGCAATTAAAAGCAGAATATTTCTGCTGGGATTTAGCATCAGAGTTCTGGGTTTTATCCTCCATGTGCTAGACAATCAATGAGGAAAATAATGCAGGAGAATATAAATGCTGTTTTAGATTTGTAGTTGTGTAACCAGGCTACACCACTGACTTCATCCTCCATCCCTTGAATTTTCTCTCTCCTAAAACAAAAGTTATTTGTGAGAAGTAATTGCATAGCGTGGAGGGCTGCCTACTCTCAGCTGTCGTGGTGCAAGCCTAGAGCCAACTTTTTGATGCAAGCAGTAAGAATTTCCCTTAGCACTTCTTTCTGTATCGTCCTGTAGAACTACAAATGGAAAGAAACTACAAATGGGAAATACACTCCGAAAATACCAAATGGATACAAGGCTCTTGAACTAATAATGGCAGTACTTTAGATCCATTACTTGGAAATATGACTTTATAAGAAATAATAATTTCTGTTATTCAGGCACTGTTACTTAATTCTAAGCACAGCTTATCACGGAACTGTACTGCTAGTTGAATAATCTGAGGGAATAATTCGAAGCACTGTTTTCTGTACACCTTTAAAAATGGAAATTGTAGAATGGCTTAGGTTGGAGAGGACCTTAAAGATCAGCACTTCCAATCCCATGCCACATGCTAACAGCCACTGGATCAAGCTGCCCTGAGCCTCATCCAATATAGCCTAGAATGCCTCCAAAGATGGGGCATGAACAACTCTCTGGGCAGCCTGTCCCAGCGCCTCACCATTCTCTGAGTAAAACATTTTTTCTTAACATCTAACTTAAATCCACCTTATTTTAATTTAAAGCCATTTTCTCTTGTCCTATCTCTTTTGGACTGTGTGAAAAGTCAGTTCCCCTCTTGCTAGCAAGCACCCTTCAAGTACTGGTAGGCCACAATGAGGTCTCCACAGAACCTTCTCCTCTCCAAGACAAACAGGCCCAACTCCATCAACCTTTCTTCATAGGAGAGCTGCTTTCGTGCTCTGATCATCCTCTGGACCTGCTCCAACACTTCCACATCCTTCCTGTACTGGGCACCCAAGACCAATACTCCAGCTGGGGCCTCACAAGGGCAGAGGAGAATGGGACAATCACCTCTCTCTGATGCAGCCCAGGATGCAGTTGGCCTTCTGGGCTGTAAGGGCACACTGCTGGCTCATGTCTAGCTTTTTGTCTATTGGGAGTCCCAAGTCCATCTCTGCAGAACTGCTCACAATGAGTTCTTCTCCTATCTGGGATTGCTGCAACCCAAGTGCAACACTCAGCACTTGGTCTT